GCAGACCCTGTGTCTTTATGTCCCCACAAAGATCAAAATCCTCCTAAGGGAGGCTCCAGGTCTGGATTTCTTCCTCACTTTTGTGGATCCTCATTAGAAAGCCTGAGTATGAGGCCAGACCTAGGCTTTGCCACTTGGTGCTGTGTGCCTGGGACAAGTTACTCAACCTCTCTGGGGCTCCATTTTTTCCATCTGTAAACGATGATCACGCCAGCAGCCAACGTGGGCTCCCTGCCCAACACTCAATGACAGCCCACGGCAATGCTATCCTGCCCCGTCGGGGGTTTCTCTCACAGCTGAGCGCGAGCCAGCCGGATTGGAAGAGTCTGCATGTAGACACCCCCAGAAACAGCCTCAGGCAGACAGAGGGAAACTGGAAAATGAATGCTCCCAGTTTCTTGTTCCTTCGACAGGACAACTCCAAGGGAAGCTATGCAGCTTCCCAGCGGCACCCAGGGAGCCCAAGTCTCAGCAGCCCACATACATCTCTGTTCTTCCCCTTCCCAGCCTTATGTCTCTGCTCCCCTACACATTCTGGGGATCACTTCCTAAGATCAACCACTCGCAAGGTTTATTGCTTGCAAGGTGGGAATTCATGAAGATGACATAGTTTGCTCACTTACTCATCCAATAAATATTTCCTGACTGCTCACAGAATGTCACCTCTGATGCTGGGTCCTGGGGGCACAATAACGAACTTGACACAATCTAGTGGAAAACAGTGGGTGCTCAACAAGTGACCCTGATCATCACTCGAGGCCAGAGGTTTCCCACAAATTGTAGGGGAACAGCAAACATGTTTTCTTTGGCCAGAACGCCATTGTTTAATAAGTCGTCCTCCTATTACAATGGGATTACATAGAAAAATCTGGATCTGCCATCTCAGGACCATCAATCTCACTGGTCAAGATCAGCTGAGACTGAACACCATTGCTCTTTGGGATAAGGCATGAGCTCTTGCCACAGTCCCCACCACTCCCTAGAGTCACACCCTCAGCAGGATTCCACTCATTGCCACGCTCGTCTGACCTGGCCTACTGACTTGACCAATGTTTGGCAAAACTGCCCTCAAACTCACCTTTGGACGATCTCGAACACCAGACGCTCTCCGACAAGTTCGCGTTCCGGCCTCTTTATCCTCCCAACTGTCCATGGAGAGGCTGTGCCTCCCTCTGGGTTGTTCTCGCCTCCTCTCTCTGGCATCCTGCATGACGGACAGTTCCTCTTGGAATTTGGAAGGGGCCCCTTTCTCAGAGTGAGTCATCTTCAAGTCCAACAGGGACCTTCCATGGTCGTGTGGGTGGTCAGTCCGCTGGGCTACACTGCCCTCCTCTTCCTTCCCAATGAGTTTCCTCGGGGCCCCTTTCTTCTGGTCAGTGGGGGCAGACACGAGGGAAATGCTGGCCCCGGTGCCAGGATCTTCCCGGGCAGCGGGCTGTGACTCGGCTGGGTAATTCAGACTCTTCCCACCACGGTATTTACTAGCGAAGGCCTCTTGTTCATCCTCAACAACTCCTAAGACCTTCTTTCGGGGACCCTCAGAGCCAAAAGAGAACACTGGATATTCTTCAGAAGAAGCCGAGGGGGAGGGAATCCATAGGGGAGAGTTGCATTTGCTGTTTATGGAGGTGCGCAGGTAGCATGCCTGAGTTGGAGAAGAAACTTGGTTGGGTTCTGCAAAACTGGCTTGTTTCGGGGGACCCTCAGCTTCAAAGATCTCCCTCACGCTCCTCCTTGACTGTTCCGTTCTGCCTTGCTGGCCCCACCTGTCTGCACCTGAACGGCGAGGGTCAGCAGCCGGCCCCTCCTGAGCCTCCTTGGGGTCTCTCGCGGGCTGCTTCCTGTACTCCTGCATCAGAGCATCCAGGTCCAGGACACTAGACCTGTAGCCATCTTTGTTTTTGCCTGGGAACGTCTCGCTCAGTACCTCGGACCTCCTCCTGACGAGGTCGCTGGATTTCTGGCGACTTTTGAAAGTTGGAGTCATTTGTGGAGCATTGCTGAGGGACAGCTTGCTCTCACTGTCCTTCCAATGGTCCTGGAAACCAGCACCATCTTCCTGTACCCGGGGATGCCATAAGGCATCGGCACTGATTTTTTCACTAGAAGGATCCAGAATCCTGTCCCCTAGAGAGAGTCGATGGTGTTTTGGCCTCTGAGAGTTTGGAAAGCTTACACTGTCATGCTGCCTGTCCCTAGCCCAGTTTTTACTGGCCCCGACATCTAGTGTCTCTTCATGGTTAAGAGAAACCAAGGGAGATGTCAAAGAATGAGAAGTTGGGGGTGGGGTTATGTTTCTAGGAGGTTCTGTTACGTTTTGGGGCCCTGGCTTAACAATGCTCTTTGATTTTTGAGTCTCTGGAATCTGGTAGGTCACAGCAAAAAATGTTGCCTTGGGCTCCACAGAAGACCCCGGCTTCACAGTTGGAAAAGTCCGGTCTTGCGAAACACCTGAGCTCCCCTCCTGGGTAGGAACCCCATTGTGGGACAGTTGAGGTTTCCTTAAGGCAGTGGTATCAGAGTGGGTCAAATAATCGGTTTCTCTCTGCTCCGCCTTGGGAGACTGTGGTGGCACCAGGGTGCTAAACTCATCAAACTTCACATGGTGGGGGAGAGTCCGCCGCCGCCACCTGTCCACCTTCTGGTCGGAGGAGCTGGCCTTGCGCATCTTGACCTCTGGCAGAGGCCCTGGAGCCAGCCTGTGCTCACCCCTGCAGGCAGCCGCAGCCAGGGTGGACGCCTGCCCCGGCATGTCTGGATGTGACCGTGCTCCCAAGTCAGGGGGTGGCTCCAGAGGGTACCCCGGAGGGCCACCCCTTTTGCCTGCTGGGACTACCTCGTCGAGGGCCTCTCGTGGAGCCTCCCTGGTGGTAGCCTGGACGGCCCTCGCTGAGATGTCCTCCCGGCCACACAGCCTCTCTGAGGGCCCCCTGGCCACTTCGGGGCTCAGCCCCCGGCCTTTCTCTTCACTGACCACCATGGGGGCTTTATGCCAGTTCACAGTCATCCCCCCGATCCATTTGGGGGACAGAGAGCTGCTCCCCCAGGTGTCCTTTGGCTCTCGGAAGTCAGGCTTCGGGCTGGCCTCATGGGTCCCTCGAGCTTCCCTGTTAGAACTGGCCCTTTGCATGGGCCCATCCAGCCTGCACTCTGGGTCAGCAGCAACAGTCTCCAGGGTCAGCTGCCTGCCCTTCGGCGAGGGCCGAGAACTGCAGCTCCCGGCCACCAGGGCCTTTCCCTCCAGTGCCAAGGTGACCTCGCTGCTGTGGGGGCCCTCACCCCCTGCCCGCAGGGTATCACACTTGGACTCAACCCTCTGCAAGAGGGGTGGGTTCTCCGAGCGCTTGAGGAGCTCGCTGTGACCGGATCTTTCCCCCGAAAGGTATTTCTCCAGGAGGGGCTCCCCGCTGGACAGCGTGGTCCGCGCCCACTTCTCACGGTCAGGTTTTTCAAACCACCTGGCGTTCTCTCTCTTGAAGTCTGTCTTTTCCAGCATGTCCTTTTCTGGCCAGGAGCCCCGCTCTGGCCTGGGTCTGACCTCCGGCAGGCAGGTAGCAGCCACCTTGCCAGGGGATGTGACCACGGTGTGTCTCTCCACGTGATGCTCAAACAGCGTGGCCCGCACGGTCTGGAAGCCTCCATCGTCCTTCTCAGTGATGTCAGAAGGACTCAGAGCACCGCCAGAGCTGTCACCCCCACCCCTAACATGGGTAGAACTGTCTTTGCACTCCGTCAGCCTGGGCTTCTCCCGGAGCACAGGCTTCCAGCGGCGCACTGGGGGAGGGTCGCCATCCGCTCCACGGCCTTCCTTTTGTGGGAAACAAAAACAGCAACAAAGAAAGTCAAAGGCTGTGAGATGGAAAGGAAAGGGAGGTGACTGGAAGGGCTGTTTTGAAATCACAACAATGAAATGCCCTAACGCTGCACAGGATGAGCAGGGTGGGACAGTGGGCACGCTGGAATTCTGTGGCAGGGGCGCATTGGGCATTGGGCGTGACTTGGGGGCCTTGCGTGTACCTGTCATGATTTTAAGATACTCATTTCCTTTTCATTCTGCCAGTTTCCTCTCAGGGTTCTCTGTATGGCCTGTGCACAAACCTTTGGAACAAGAATGCTCAAACAGCACTGTCTGTGGAAGTAAACGAACACAAAAGTAACCTAGATGCCCCCGCAGGGCACTGGCTTATATATGGAAACCACAGGAGGGGAAGGGGGTCCCGAAGTCCTGACATTTGAAAACGTAAAAATGCTGTGTCCGATGTAGGGAAAAGCAGACTGCAACAGCGTATTTATAGTATAACAACATTTTAAGTTTTTTGTTTAATGTGTGTATGAATACATGTAGATAAACGGTGGAGAAAAGCTGTAAGTCAATCTGCAAATAGAAGAAGTGAGATCTTCTCTTCCATTTTATAACATGCGTGTGTTACTTAGTTATCTGTAACTTTTTTTTCTGTGGGAATAAGTCAACTTTCAATAAGTGAAGCATAGCATTACCATAATCCAACAATTCCACCAATTCATTTCCTGGAATATATCCTGTAGAACTGACAACAGGTGCTCAAGCAAATACTGCACACCCATGTCTAGAGCAACATTATTCACAACAGCCAAAAGGTGGAAACCACCCACATGCCCATCAACAGGTGAATGGGTAAACAAAATGTAGCCTAGCCACAGAACGGATTATTATTCAGGCATAAAAAAGAATGATGCGATGCATGCTACCACATGGGTGCACCCTGAGCACACTATGCAAAGTGGAAGGAGCCAGACAGCAAAGGCTACACACTTTGGGATTCCATTTAGACTGAACATCCAGAACATTCAGGCGACAGAGGCAAAGTACACATTCAGGATCTGTCAGAGGCTTGAGGTGGCAGAGGTGACTGGTTAAGGGATTTCCATTTGGGGAAATAAAAGATTCCAGAACTGGATATTGGTAATAGTTGTATGATATTGAGAATAAACTTAATGGCACTAAAGTGTACACCCTGAAATGTTATAATGCAAGCTGGCCCATAGTTTGCTAACCTCTACTCTAGAAAGTAGAATGTTATTAAAAAATTTTTAAATCAGATTTTCAAATTTTTTTTATATTTTATTACATGAATGTGAATATGAATCCATTCTCATTGTAAAGTAATCTAAACAATGTAGGCAAAACTCAAGTTTTTTTTGTTTCTACATTCAAATACCAGTCCTCTACTGGAATAACAACTACTACCAAAATGGGATATGTGTCACTGAATAACTTTCCAGAACTTTCTCCTTGTATTATTGCTTGTATGTATATAAACATAGATGTGTGTGTGTAACCATAGAAATGTACAATTTTTATTCTAACTTTAAAATGTATATTTAAATTTTTTCACTGTAAGCAATAGTGACAATGATATGTTTTATATATGTTTTACCACAACTTTTATAAAATTACCACAGAAGATGTATTTACAGGGCCTCCCTGGTGGCACAACAGTTAAAGTGTAGTACTATGCAGCTAACCACAGCCACTGCAGCACGATTCAATTCCAGGCCAGGGAGCTGCTTTATATGGCGCAGCAGACCTCTCCTGTCTCGCCCATTGCTCCCCTCAGCAGTGTGCTTCAGTCAGTCTGTCTGTTCTGCTCCCCACTCTATCTCTGGGGAATCCTCTTAACACCCACAAAACTCTGGCCTGTACCCCAGTTTGTATGTGCATAAATAAATAAACCTTTTCTTTAAAAAAAAAAAAAGATGCATTTATAGGGATGAAATCTAATATTTCTTTTTTGAAATCTCATATTTAAAGCCAGAATTCCTTTACTAATTCTTCATGACTTGAAGTTTTCAAACATGTACAGACTTACAGAGAAATAATAAATTTGCTTCAACCAGTCTCCTACAAAGTCAATGAGAATAAACATTTTACCTCTCTTGCTTCACATTATTTTTGTTCTTGTCACTATGGCACTTTATTTCTTTAAAGATTTATTTACTTATGCATATAAGAACTGGGTACAGACCAGGGACATGGGGGCTGAATCACCAAAGGCAGAGTGGAGGGCAGAACAAGCAGAGATACACTGCTGAGGGGAGCAGTGGGGAGTCAGGAGAGGTCTGCCTTGTGGGTCAGCTCCTGGTTGGGATCAAACTTATGCTGCAGTGGCTGTGGTTAGCTTCATAGTGCTGAGACTCAACCTTTGTACCACCAGGGAGACCCATAGTATGGTATTTTAATGTCAATATGAAGGGCTTTGTTTAAATTGAAATATTTAAATTGAAATAAACGACTCAGAAGATCCAAGGATAAAAAAACAAAGCAAACTGCCAACCCCAAGACTAGTGGACAATCACTCCAAGTCACCTCCCCTCATTGGGGGTTTACAATGAGACGTGTACAAATGGGCCAGGATCTGAGTTCTGCAAAAATCTCTATGCAAATTTCTTAAAAAATGAAATGTGCAGCTAATGCACAATCCAGCCATTCCACTCCTAAACCTCTACGCAAAAGAAAAGAAAACAGATGTGCTCAGAGCCTCACCCACAAAGGCTGGGTGAATCAACCCACAGCATCATTGCCAATGACCCTGAAGCTGGAAGCAACCAAGTGTCTCTCAAAGGGTGAAGGGCGAACAAGCTGGTCCGCCCATGCCATGGAGTATCACTCAGGAAAAAAAAAAAAACGATTGCTACCACAACATGATGAATCTCAAAATAATTATTCTGAGTAAAAGAAGGCAGCCTCCGTGCTCGCTTCGCAGCACATATACTAAAATTGGAACGATACAGAGAAGATTAGCATGGCCCCTGCGCAAGGATGACACGCAAATTCGTGAAGCGTTCCATATTTTTAAAAACACTGATTGAAAAAGATACTTGTACCCCCATGTTTATTGCTGCTTTATTTACAATTGG